GGTCATCTGCGAAACGTTGCTCTCGCTCCACAGCTTTAAAACTTTTCCTTGCTGGAATTAGGAACAAGAACACTTTTTTAAAATATTAAAGAAAAACAAGACTGTAATTTATTTAATCTTTTTAGCTGATCAGTATTCCACAGATGCACCATACTGACAAGCTGGCCTCTTTGTGCTACCTTCTCAGTCACTGTCTGTACATTGTTTATCCCCCTTTGCTGGTCCTTAGCATATCCTTCTCTCTCTCTCTTAAATTTTTTTTTTTAATAAAAAAGATAACTGTAGAATGAGATCATGGCTTGTGTAGTAAGCATCTTTGTATAAAATAACACAAAGCAGTGAAATACAGACATTTCACCTTGTTTAATCAGTTTCTGGAACTACTATTTATAGTGTATTTTCATTTTGTCATCCAAAGGGCATTGACAGCAGGACAAAATGAAGACCAAGTGCTGTAGTCGATTTGTGTTTTGCTCCAAGACAACCATCTATACCTTTCTGCTTGGAGGAGTGTTTATTGCGTTGGGCTCAAGTCGAATCCTCCTGATGAAGTATTCTGCCAATGAAGGTGCTGTTGAGCAATAAACATAATGCACTTCAAATAAGAAAGAGTTGACATTTGGGGTAAAGCAAGATACCCAAAAGCCTAGTTCTTCACCTGCAGAGTTCTTAGTGTAACTACTCAATTATATAAATAGTGACCTGTATTTCTGTACTGGAAAATCTCCATGTAGTCACTGGTCTAACATAAAGTGATAATGGGTTGTGAAGTGTATGATCGCTGTGGAGATTCACCCTTAGAAGATGAGGTAGTGAATTAGTTTATAGCTGATTTTCAAAGACTAAATTGTGTAAGCACTATCGATGGTACATGTCTTGACTGAAATATTTGTCTTGCAACAGGCTTAGGAGAAAAGTGGTATCATAGTGGGTGTGCTGTAACTGACTAGTATTACTGCTTCTCCTTTTACCAAGTATTTGCAAAATATGTTAACAAAGAAAACAAATAGACCTAGAAGAAGGTTGTGTCATCCTGGAAGCTGTTTTTTTTTGAAGGGAAAAAATAGCATATTGCTGTTTGGGGAAAATGTTCCCATTTAAAATTTTTTTAAAAACAGTCATGTTCTTAAGTTCTTCCAAAAAGTTCTGCTGTAAACTGAGACCAAATGAGGAAAGATTTCAACCCAGAAAGGAGGCCATTCAGGAAGTTGTATATCATAACAATTGGGATATTTATAATGAAAATGCTGACATAGCCTTTTGCATTTATGGAAAGTGGCTAAAATTCTGACTGGAGGGGTTAAAATAGTTTCTTGCTCTAATTATGAATGCAGGAGGTAGAATCTGATTGTCTACTCTTTATGATTTGCTGAATCCTACAGATAACAAATACGATTACCTTCCTACAACAGTGAATATATGTTCTGAAGTAGTAAAGCTGGTCCTGTGTGTGATATTGGCACTATGGGTTAAGAAAAAAGGTAAGCACATATGTCTAAAATAACTGAAATATGTTGACTTTGTAAGATTTGCTGTACTTCAAATCCCTTTTTTTTTTTTTAAGTTATGGATTCACCTGTAGTAGTATGGAGTAGGTCCTCCTAGTAAGGTTTACTGGAATTGTGTCCTCTGTGCAGAATTATAACTAAACTTTACTTTTATAACTCTACTTTGTACTGTAAATTCAGATGTTCTTGAGTTGTGCATATGGTAGCTGAAATGAAGACAGGTAAGTTGAATTAGAAAGTATAATGAAGACATAGTCTAACATTTTCTGAATTTTAACACAGTGTTATGCTAGGATAATAGGAGTCACCTCACTGTGAAGTCATGACTGAGCAGAAGCTTATAAATAGCATTAACTCAAGGACTGGCCTTTATGTTCTGTTGTTCTGATGACTTTTAAGTAAAAGTACCACCACCTTCCACTGAAGGTGCTTTGTGTGTGTTGTGGTATTTGAGGTAGAAGCAACATATCAATGTTATAATTCAAGGTAGCTTTGTTGTGAAGACAAATCTTGCGGCTGCTGTTCAGAAGAAGTGGTGTCAGGCTTCAATAGCTACTGGTTTTGCATTGCAGGCTATTTTTCTTTTTTCTTTCTTGGCTTTTCTGTCCTGATGTGAAAGGATGAGATGTTAACTTCATAGCATTTCAGAATGGTAGAGAACAGACATTTAAATTGGAAGAGGGTGTCAGACATTGGAGACTCATGTTAAATTGAACTGCTGGTTTTGTCTGCTTGTTCATGGAACGATCATGGCTCTGGCAAGCCGATGAAATTTTTACCTCTGCCATTTAGTACGGACATACCTAAAACAGTAAATATAATCAGTGTTTGCCATCATTGGCTACTGCTGGTTACACGTTTTCTGGTTTTCTTTTGTTCCCCCCCCCCCTCCCCCCCTTTTTCTTCCAGTTTTGCTGAACTCAGTGTATCAGTGGTTCAGAAGAGGATTAGATAATGTTGTGTAGTCTTAAATCTGTGCTAACAAAGTACTTCTGTCACTCTAGAGTAGTCTAAGGTTTATCATTCTTCCTCCTAAAGTATGTGTCCTGAATACCTAAGTAAATGTCATTCTTTGCGTGTGTCCATCCTTTCTTCCTTCTCCCTATATGTTCTCTTTTTACCCAGATACTACAGATACTGAGTTCTGTTTTATTTTGTGTTTCTGACATTACTGGCTGCCCTTTGGGTGCTATATGAGCAGATCCACTGTCTGTGTCATTGTTTCAGTTCTAGATTTGATTGATAATCATCAGAAAATCATACCCAGTAACAATGTCACTATTGCGTGGGGAGTTTGGGATGCTTTTTGGCCTTCAAGGAATCGTTGATGATTGAGTTTTTGCTCCCAGTGGACAAACACTCTGATGGGGGTAACAGGTTCCTTGATGTTTTCTCTGCTGAAGTAAGGAGGTGAATGCCCGTAGACACAGGATTGCAACTTTAGCTGTGTGTTCTGCTCTGGATCTGTCGTCTATGTTGCCAGAGTACTGTGGTAGCTTAGTTTTTTTCCAGTCCAATGGTGTTCCTGAAAACAAAACAGTGATACCTATTCTGTTATAAGGGAATAGACTTTCAATAATAAGATAGATGTCTGTCTTACAGATTTCTTTTCCTTTCAGAGGGTTGTTTGGATCATCCCTTTGAATGTCTTTCCTGGAAGAATTTTTATAATTCCATGAAATGGTCAATTCCTGCCTTCCTTTACTTTTTGGATAACTTGATTGTCTTCTATGTACTGTCCTACCTCCAGCCAGTAAGTATACATATACTGAATAAAGTATCTTCCAGTGTTTTAGTGGTCGGTAACATTGCCCCTAGACTACTACAGCTGTAACACTGGCAAGGCAAGATTTGCAGGTAACAGAATGATCTGTTACCTGGCCAGCCAGACCTTCCCATTCTTTTGCCCACTGGTCAGTATTGTACAGCTCTCAGTAGAGGAGAGTCTCTGTATGTCTTCTCCATCTGAAGTGGTTTAGAAATAGACTGAATTGCTTAAGTACTGGGTGGTTTTCAGTGCTTTGCCTCCTTGGTTTCTCAGCTCTTTGTTTCTCTTTCAATGCATTTGCTCATCTTGCTAATATTTGAGCCACACTTTCCTATGTGGCTTCTACCACATTATGTATGTGACTTCACAGGATGACTTGTTTTCTTTCCTCACAGACTCCAAAGAAAAGTGAGTAAATGTAATCCCACAGAGAGAGTAAGTGTAACAGGAACTGAGCAGGGGAGGAAGATAACCGTTTGACTCTTAATTTTTGCATTTGTTTATTAGTTATGTTTAAGCACAAAATTTAATTGGTGCTTTCTTCTAGCTACTTTCATTCTTTTGGATGAATCTGTGTATGCTCAGGAAATAGTACAGTTTTTGTGCTTTCTTTTATTCATGATAGGATACTTTTTGGTTTGGAATCTGTTTGAAGTTAGATGGAAACAAATGGTTAGTGCTTGCTACAAAATACTGTGGCTTCCCCTTTTTGACATTAAAAATGAGTACAAATGTTTCTGTTCCCTCTCTTTCAGAATTTCTCTTTAAAATATTGTCCTTTTAGGTGTACAGTTCGGTCAGGGACAGACCAGAGTCTAGAATAGGACCTGGCTGGGAAAATCTAAGTAAAATCAAGAGTCAGATATCTTAAAATAACATGCAGAGGTGCTTGGTTCTGTGGTTTGTTGTGTGTGGGTTTTTTGGTCATGGGTTGTTCTGGTGTTTTTACTTTAGGAAGGAAATTCAACTATAATGTTTGTAATAGCAAAGCCTGATGTTTAGAAGATTACATAAACACTATTGCTTTCTTAAGCAATTTGATTTATTTGGCTCAGTTAAGGTCATCTTTTGTAATATGCACAGCTTTTATATTTTACACATACACACCCACACAGATCTTGTCTCTCTCCCCTCAGAACATGTGCTCTAAGATTCTTCTGTTTTTAGAACTCTTAGGGTCTTATGCTCCTTAACTGGATATATTTTATGAGGGTTAGCTGAAATTCTAACATTATCATGGTAAGCAAGTATTAAAAGAGATAACTAAATACCTGTAAGATAGAATACCTTTACAGGGTACAAGACTCTGCAAGTGGAAAGGTGGAGGCAACATGCTTGAAAGAAGGCCATACGTTACTGAACTTGGTTTCATGTGACTTCAAAAACTAAGTAGGTTTGGGACTAAGTAGTCCCTAGGTGAGCAGTTGCTTGAAGTACAGACTTGCTTTGGTGAGATTTTTTTGATTGAAGCTTCAGCTGTAACTATGGATACTCTTTAGTGGCTAGCATTTCCTAGCGATAAGACTTATTTTTTAGAGACTGTTTGTGACATTTAAGTTAGTGGCATGGTGATATTTGGTAAATTTTTTCCTTATTCCTTCTCATCTAGGACAGAGGTCCCTTGAGACCTCAGAGAAGAAAGCAACTCAAAATTAATTCCTTGTAACTATCCTGCTGTAAATTTTGATCATATTAAGTTACCAGAGATGTTGAATGCAGGGCTTTTGCTTTATAGTCAAACCAGCGTATACGTGGAACGCTTGCACATTTTGCATCAAGCCTGTTTTTTCTGGATTGGTTACTGCCAGATTCACTTGTTTATTCAATATTTTTCTCCTTCCACAGTGTTCACCTAACATGAATATTTATTGACTTGTAATCTTGCAAAGCGAAAATTAAGCTGTGGTTTCTTAGGCAGATGTCTCGTGGGTCAGTCTTCAGCTTACCTGAGACCCTGTGTCAGGCTGTTCCATGAGATTTATTATTCAGCAGATAGCATGTTGGAATAGAGTGGAATGAAGGTAATGGGAAAAGGGCCTGTGGTAAATGAAAAAGGCTCTGCTGTTGCTGAATTGGGAATGTAGAAATGCAGATGAGAAGGTGCAAGATAAAGTCTGTGTTTTGCACTTTTGAATCCCTATATGTTTTTGTGTAAAATTGTCTAAAAAAGTGATCTCACTCTAAGACTGAATTGCAGGAAAGCATTCAGATGCCTAGATTTTTGTACGTGTACTGACTACACAGGGCAGTCCTGAAAAACACACAATTTGGAAAACCTTTTTTCCCTGCTGATGCTGGTAGATTCTGATCTTTAATGGTAACTGCAGTGCCTAAAAGAGCCTCTGCTTGGTCCAGTGTCCCAGTATAGAGTGTCTAATACAGAGACCAAGAAGACAATCCTTTCCACAAGGAGTTTGCAGCTTGGGATCATGCCCATGGGTTAGGGTGCTGTCATTATTATACAGCTATTCCCAAATTAGACGGGAGATTTAGAGTTGTCTTTGGTTGTACTTGGAAATAGGTGATTTTTTTAGTACAGTTGCAGTCTTGAAAATTCAAGCCAAGTGCCTCCTTACCTTTGATAAATGATAAAGCAAATGCACTTGACATACAAGCAGTTTATTTTCTGCAAGTGCTTTGTCCAAGTCTGGGATTTCATGAATGCTGCAAGCTGGTATTGCAGCCAGAAGCAGTTTCACCTTCCCCTATTCTTTTCTTATTTTCATTTTGGAGCAACTTCTTCCTTTGTGCTGATGCAGCTATTTTTGCAGCTGACAGGTCAGCCTGGCTGGGAAACTGATCCAACAGAAAACTAAACCATTTTCTTTTATGTTAAGTAAATTTTCTTCTGGATTGGTTTCCTTACATCTTTGTTTCAGTACAGCTTTCCCCACTACAGTGGAACTTAGGCTCTGTGGTTTGCTTAAGATTTTGAAATGGGACTTGAGTGTCATTTTAGAGGTGTGTTATTCTACCATTTGGGTAAGAAAAAAAGTTCAGTACTGGGATGATACTTTTCACTCTGGTACGTTGCAGAAAGGTGAACACTTGAAGCCGGTGGGCTTTTGATGTCCACACTACGTCTGAAGTATAACTTTGTTCCCCTTCTCTTTCTAGGCAATGGCTGTGCTCTTCTCAAATTTTGTCATTATAACAACAGCACTTCTTTTCAGGATAGTGCTAAAGTAAGTAGTATTTACTAAAGTAAATGAAATTTTATGTTTTCCTAGCCTTGATGAAGAAGTTAAGCTTTGTTCTTTCTCGTTGTCTGATGGGAACAGTAATTCTCTTTTCTTGTGGCTATACCAACTTGGAGGGATGGCTTTGTTTTCTACATCTGAGGGTGTAGGAAGTAATATCTTATTAGGAATCCCTATGTATCTCTACACATTGGTCAACTGTGATAGAAAACAACTGAAATCATGATTATATAGTTGTTGGATGGTCAGAATTAAGGTTTGGGTACTTTAATTTGTACATTAAACCTCATATTTCATGATTAGCAGTACTTCTTTCCAGTCTGTTGTAATTCTTAATTGAATGTGAATGTAATCCAACAGGAGGAGATGAGATGTGAAAGACAGAGGTGTTTTCGGTAATATTGTGCCAGCCCTGATGTGTTTCTGGTCAACTGCATAATATGTTTTAAAAAGTAATTTTATGTCCCTTATTCATTATTCATGTGACAAAAGCCAGACTCTGTCCTATGTGTTCCACTTCATTGGTTTGTGGTCTTTGTGATGTGACTTAGATTTAGAAAAGACTTGACAAGGGAAATGGATATTGACTTCACGCTCTACTTAAAAAGTCACTTGTGTTGAACGTGGAGCATGCCTTTTCTACACGTGTTAATACACCAAAACAATGTCTGATAGTCTGACTTGAAATGCTTTTTCTCAGTTGTTTAGTTTTGTGTCTCTTGTGATGTCACAGTTTACTTAATCTTTCAAATTTCTGATTTTCCCCAAGATAAACAGACTTGGCTTTAGTGAAAAAATAGTATGAATAGTTCTAACAGTCTTCTAAATTGTGTTCATGGGTTTATATGATTTACCATCATAAAATACCAGGAAAGGGCGCAAAAATCATGGGGGGAAAAGTGAAATATAGTGAAAGTTTACCAAAGAAAGAGGATAATTATTTGAGTGTCTGTGATTTCTTTTTATCAGTTAGACCTGTGTTCCCATGGAGACAACAGTTGCTTTTAAGTTGTCAGACAGTCAGTATCTAGAACTAACATGATCTTGAAAGACTTTCCTTAAATTATCTCTACAGAGTACTCCATTTTGTACTTCTGTGATTGCCAGGCTGGCCGCCCCTTGCCATAGAAAAGCATGCTGCGTTTTGACATTCTATTGTCAGTTCTGAAAAGCCAAGATTTTTCTTTACGCCTGCCTCTCCTTATCTGTGACATGATGTCTTTTATGTGTTTTATAGAGCTTGTTCTCTTGTCATTTAATTTGTGCCACTATGTTTCTAAGGTTGGTGGCTTTTTTTGTCTCCTCCTAGGCGAAAACTCTCTTGGGTACAATGGGCATCTCTGGTGATTTTATTCCTGTCCATCGTTGCCCTGACTCTAGGAACTGGAGGCCATCAGCAAAGCTTGGCTGCACACGGATTCCATCACAACATGTTTTTTAGTCCATCTAACCATTGCCTTCTCTATGCCGGACCTGAGGAAGCATGCCTGGAAAAGGGCAACTGCGTGGCACCAAGTTTCCTTCCCAGCTTCCAGTGGAATGTCACCAGTACCATGGCAGGAGCATTGAAACCTCTCCGCCTCAGCCTGGGCCATCTGCTTATTCTTGTGCAATGTTTCATTTCTGCCCTGGCTAACATCTACAACGAAAAGATCTTGAAAGATGGGGATCAGCTTGCTGAAAGCATCTTTATGCAGAACAGCAAACTCTATGCCTTTGGGGTGCTGTTCAATGGGCTTATGCTGGGGTTGCAGGCTAAGGACCGGAGGCAGATAGGGAATTGTGGATTCTTTTATGGGCACAACGTCTTCTCGGTGGCTCTCATATTTGTCACAGCTTTCCTGGGGCTCTCTGTAGCCTTCATCTTGAAGTTCCGAGACAATATGTTCCATGTTATGACTGCTCAGATCACCACTGTCATCATCACCACCGTCTCTTTCGTCATCTTTGACTTCAGGCCTTCTCTAGAGTTCTTTTTGGAAGCTCCTGTAGTGCTTCTCTCCATATTCATCTATAATGCCAGTAGACCAAGAGGCCTGGAATATGCCACTCTGCGGGAAAGGGGCAAACTCGTCAAAGGAGATGCATGGGAGAGGTCAAGTGGGGTAAGGCTTTTCAGTACTTGTCTCCTCTGGTTTCTCTTTTGTTTCACCTCCTTTATACTATGGAATGTTTGGAACATCCATTTTGCATGTGACCAGATGCATCCCTCAACTCAAATACCAAAACTCCTCAGTATTTCTTGAAGTCTTTTAAATTGATTTGGTATTGCTTTCCATATTCCACTTTTTCATTTCATGAAGCCTAGGAAGGCATTGCTTTCCTGCTGTGACCACAGAGAGTCCTGTGAGCAACTTTAGCTTTGTATAAATCCTTTCTTTGAAACCTTTATAACCAAAATATTTTACTGGCCCTGGGCATCCAGAAATTGGAATTGATGCCTGGGAAATAATTGTACTTAAGTAGAACTGATAAATCTGTGTAGCTGAGCCCACATCAAGAAGAAGTTAATATATTTGATGTTAAGATTCTTTCTACCTTAACAGTCAAAGATACCTGAAGACAAAACCGTAATGTTTAAATACAGAGTTTTAACATGTTTTTTTTTCTTATGAAACATTTCATCCATGCCCATTAGTGGTTTTTGTCCTAATTTAAATAGTAATCTAGTTAACTAGAACATGGCAAGGAGGGCTTGCTCTTTGATATGTCATTCAGTTGAGCTGAGCAGTCAGTCTAAGGGGGGAAGGGTTAATGTCTCTGCTTGTAGTCTGCCTGTACAGATGTGTTCTGTAATACACGCTGCAACCAGCAGAGAGGGCAGCTTCCATTTAATTCTAAGAAACATTAAACTTGGCAGAGATGTTTTCCAGAAATTCCACATGGTGCCTTTTAAGGTTGTTGTTTAACAAGCAGTAAATAACATTAAATTATATATTTTTGGTACACAGGTGTTATCTACTTTAGCACTTACAATTGAGCAGCTGTGGTAAAAACAAATAGCAATATGTGAGCAGGCTACCTGATGAAGGATTGGGCTACAAGGTGTTTTAGGGAGTGAGTCACTAAAAAGTGTTAAAGATACAGGGGATACTGTTTATAAGCATGTATATCGTAGAGCAAGATTATAACACACTGGTAAGAGATTTAATTTTCAGAGTCTTGATTTTGTACAGGTGATGCCTTCAAAATAAACTTTACTCTTTTTTTTTTTCTTGGCATTAATAACAAGATAACTTTTTCTCACATTGTTCTCTTTTGCTTCTGGATGCTGTAGGATGGAGAAGAATTTGAGAGACTGAACAAACCAAGCAGTGACATCGACACAGATGAAGATTCGCTCTAGCACAAGGCTGATTCTGAGGAGTGCTGTTACTCATAGTGAGAGAATGTTAATGTTTTATTGACATAGGGAAGGGTCATTTTTCCCCAGTTGCAGAGCAATTGAGACTGTTTTGGGGCTGGATGTCAGAAGTGGATAAGGAAAACATTCAAGCCATATTTATGGAGGGTTGTATTCCCTCTTCCTATCCATCTAAATCAAGAGTTCACAATCTGCTGAAAGACATAAAATTTGTAACTGGTGCAAACAAGAAGGGGCTTGGACCCTGAACTTGGTCTCGGCGACATTTGCTACATTGTCAAAGGCAAGTCCTGGACTCTAACCATGTCTTTCACTGCTTTGGTTGACTGTCCCAAGTCACTGCAACTTCCTGTATGAATTCCTTGGTTAGCAAAGCAGAGATAAAACTCTTCTTCACCTTGCAGAAGTGAGATGAACGTTGATGAATGTTTTTGCTGCATCTTCCAGTGTACAAATTCTCCAGCAAGTTTTCTTTTCAGGACTTAAGATGTTACTAATAACCTCATAAATAATGAGGCATATTGACTGTTCTGTTATATTTTGGCAATTCAGATTGACATCCCTAGCTGAGTAAAAGAGTCCCTCTGAACCAACCTCATCAAACTTTCACTTGAGAATGTGTAATAAATCAAATAATTTCGGTTAAGGGTGTGTTGATCCATCAAACAGGCAGATCTCTAGAGTATGATTTGAATTCAAATGGTCTTGATTCTGTCTTCATTCCTGTTTTTACATCAGTGTAACTCTGTACTGACTCCTGTGGAGTCCTTCCTTTCTGATTTTCTCTGATGTGACTGAGAGCAGAATAGATTTCACTGACTTCAGCCACTAGTTCTCTTCACATTTTCAATGTAAGACTTGTGTGCCTGTCTCCCAGTGTCTGGGGAAATGGAAATCTGGAATGCCTTTGTAGCAGATAGTGGATTTTAAATGCAACTTATGTGGCCTAAGTTTGAAAGAGCTTGAATAAAATAAAAGTGTCTTATACAGTATGAATGCATCATAGGATCTTTTTTGTGTTTAGAAGAGCTACGTGTAGAGGCTTAGTTTGCACTGAGGCCACTATCTGAAAACGAATATTATGCAGCTACAGTGATGCCCTTCAACATCTGGAGCACTGAGCAAGAGGGTGCAGGTGGTAGTATCGTGTGGTGTTGCTCCACACTGTCAGACGGATAAGGTCCTGTGTTCATTTTGGAGAGAGAGAAATCATTCTCCTCGGTGCCAGGCACAGTGATCTCAGAATCACTGTTGAGGCGTCTGCTGGATTATATTTTGAGCGAGATGAAAAATAGGTTCCAAATAATTCAGCAAATTTTGAAAGGGGGAAGGACACAAGGATGCAGATAAGAGATTCTTGGTATGTTCCTAAAGCCTCTTCTCTCAGAACAGTGGAAAAGATGTTGGTTTATAATTTCCTCCCTTCAAAAATGTATCTTTCATAGTTGAAAGATACTGTCAAAAGAATTCTTAAGAAGATAAGCAATGAGTATAATGTCAAAGCTTCATACCACAGTGTATAGTAATCGGTTAGAGATGCATTTCTCTCTGGACTGAAGACAGTCTTGCTTTTGTTCCTCTCTGCTATCCCATTTCCAGGCTCTGTGTATAACAGCTTACTTATGCATACTGTATTGGTGGCTCATTGCTGTATTAATTAACATACCTCCTGTCACTGATCCATCAAGAGGGGCAGCCTATTTCCATATGTGGCCAATGACTGTCAAGTTATAAACTATGAATTTAAAATTATTCTCTTTTTTTTCCTGGAAGTATTAATTTTTTCTAGCATATATTAAGGATAATGGTACAAAGTGAAATTACTGTTGTTGTTGAAAAAAATTTTAGTTCATCTCATTGTGCTTGTATAGTAGGCCATTTCAACAAAAGGAATACTAGTTGTTTGCATCTGTACAAAATGAATAAGGAAGCATATTTCAATGTAAATTCCAGAAACATTTTTTTCATTGGTTTATGATGTCCTATTTTGGGAAATGAAACGTCAATGCAAAAAAGTAATGCTGAAACTGTTAAAGACTTAGTTGCGATAAGACATTTTCATTTTTTTTTCATTACATACAGCTTTGCAATGTATACCTGCCTGAGTTCATTGTCTTTTTCAATCATAGCTACCAACTTTAGCAGGTTATTTCCAAGAAGAGTGAAAGTACTGTTAGCTTTAGATTGCTTTGCATTTACATAAGCAGTAGCTTTTTACACGAACTTTTCCAAAGAGCTTTGCCTTCCATTAAGTCAGAACATAGAAATCAGTCTCATTCCTCTAACAGCAGAGCATCAAACCAAAGATGAATGTCTTAAAAAACATATGTTTGACCTTCCTGCCTGAAATATCTGCATTAAGAGAAATGAGAAGTGGAAATGACTGATCTGCAGATTTTATAAAGTGCACTTAGTTCTTGCTTTCAAGTCCTGTCCTGCTTAATGGTTTTTCCCTTTATAAATTTCACTGATGCTATTGTGCTTGACTTATTTGCTGAAGTGCTAGATTGTACAAAGATATCAGGTATATAACTGGTGGTGCAAGTGTTTACTTGTGCTGTAGAGTTGGTCCTGTCTAACATATAGAAATCTTTCTGTTGTCTTCAGGTTGGAGGTGTCAGAGAGAGACTGTTGGATTGGCCAGGCAGGTTTCCTTTAATAATGGAGAACTGTATATCCCTTTTGCAGCAACAAGAATGTTAACTGCTGTCTAAAAATGGGTAAGGATTTGCATCAACTTAGCAATAAAAAAGTGTGTAAAGTAACCCAAAAGTATAACTATGCAATTCTGTGCAGCTGTACTACCCATGACAATAGTAGAATTTAGTGTGTACATGAGATTGTTAGAGGAAGTGACTGTAAATGATTGTCAGCTGGACAGCAGCCCTGGTTAGCAAGGGGGAGCTATTCTATAGAGTTACATGTTTCAAACAGATCATGTGAATCCCTCTTGAATAAGTATTTCCACTGTATGGTTGTTGACCTACTCCATGTTGGAAAGCTCTCTATTTGTCTCCTCAAATGACAATAGGGAAATTTATGAGAAGATTTTTGGGGAGCAGCATTAGTTTGACACATAGCCTTTAATGAATATATTGGGTAGAGAGCTCTTTCTAAGCTGTGATTTAGAGCCCAGATTCACAAACATTTGAACTTAATTGCTTCTGAGGATGTTATGTTCCTCCCTCCAGGTCTGAGGAAATAGTTCACAAAACCTCCCAAGGAGAGAGATGTGTTCATGTTTCTCTTGTTTATAACAAGCCATTTAAAGCAGTATTTATTGTGGTTAATTTCAGCTATTCTGTGAACGTAGCAACCAAGCCATGGTGCTTGCAAGACAGCCTGTGGATGAAAACAGCCATCTTGGAGCTGAATCAAATCCCATAAATATGTATAAGAAAAAAGTTTATCATGTGGAATCTTCCCACTAAGGGCTATAGAAATAAGACCTTAACAGTAAGTCTGTCATCAGAGTGGTGCTGCAGAGACAGATGCAGTGCTTTGGATTTGATTTGTGTTTAGCAAAATGAAGTCTTAATTTGGAATGTTGTAGCTCCCAAATGCTTATAGTCTTCAAGACAACTATATGTTGTTGCTGAAATGATTTTTTTGGCTTGGTGTTCCTTCAGGCTTTGCTTTTAGTTTTCCATAGGGAGGGGTAGCTTGTAAAATCATTGTTAAAAGTTTCTGGTAATTTTCAGCCAGTTTGTAATGAAGGCAGGAATTGGTACCAGAATGTAGAATAATGCCGAGTCTTCCTCAAATTCTAGGAATACTTGAATGTGTAGTTTTGGTTAAGAGCCCATCCTAACCTCCCTTATAATAAGGGCAGCTTGTTTGGTGTTGTCTTTTTAATGCAACTCCCAGTGAATGCCTTGGCTGGGTTTGGTACTTGCACAACTTAACTTTGATTTCTGGAGAAGGAAAAAAAAAAAGGACCAACAGCAATACAGATCAGGTATTGCACTCTCTTTTGTAAGTTAACTGTCTCCTCCTCCTGCTCAGCACAGGACATTTAGTTTCCATGATTTGTAATGCGAGTTAAAAGGGCTTTCATTTAAGGACTTTACATGGAAAAATAAGATTACAGAAAAGTTGAAATGAACACCTGAAAGAAAACACCCCAAAGGTATTTTTCTTTTTGTGTACAGGAGGTGGCTGTTTGACACCTGGTATACTTTCCTGTGCTTTTGCTTTAGGCAAAGAAAGTTAGGCAGCTAACCTTAATACACAATAATGCAGTAAGCATTTGTTTTCTAAAACAGTTATGGGACCTCACATTTTCATATAGAAACCTTTCATTTCTGTGGTTCTTTTTTATAGCTCCTCTGTTTTTTTTTTAATTTCTCTGTCCACTGCTTTCAGCTGTGGAAGTGCTGTAGTTAATGAGAGCTTGGAAGCTCTCTGCAGGCAGCAGTCCTCTCAAAATGGTTCTGTCAAATGCCTACCTTCCCTCATTTAGCTCTAGTCACCTGAGAGAGGTAAGTCAGGAGCTGTACCCTGTGTTGATGAGACCTTGTGGTACAGAGGGCAGCCTGCCTGTAAGGCAGGTTGGCAGCCTGGCAAACTACCAGGTTTGTAAACCGAAGGAAGAGCTGCCCAGGCCCTGTGACCTCTCCACATCTGTCTGCCTTTCCAACATTCAGAAGGGCAAGCAAGGTCTGACCTTTTGTGGCTAAGTTTCTAAAGGAAGTATCTGGTTTTGAGTGAACTTGTTGCTTTACCTAGTTCTGGTTTTGTCTGGGCCAAAAAAAAAAAAAAAAAGGATCAGGAAAATGCTAAAACTAACTATGGGGCATGCTCTGGCCAGCTTAGAGCTGTAGCTTCTCCCTGTGCTATCGCTGTGATGGTAAAACCTAGTAAGAGTGCCGTGTTGCATGTATCTATACATGGCATGGGCACCCATGTCACAGATTATAAAAAGAAATGTGACTGGTGAGGCATGGTGTCAACATTAGAAGTGACCGCTGTGCCACTATGAAGGCTTGCATGATACCTTCGCCTCAGGATATTCCTGAATCTTTCTGCTGGGTCTTTAATGTTTAGAAATCTAACCCAAGTGGTGTTGAAAGCATGGCTATACATGCAGTTCCTGCCACTGATTTCAGTAGGAGTAAGGTGGTGCAACAGATCCAATGCCCAAAGACACCAGTGAGAAGGGAGAAGAAAACGATTTCAGAAAGTGTGGCAGAAATAGAGCTGTTTTAGTAGCAGATCAAATTATTCCCAAATAGTTTTATAAACATTTAGTCTAGATTTTTTTTTTTCTCATGGGGGAGGGTGTGAGAAGAAGAGGTAGAAGGAAATTTGAAATTTAGAGCAATAGTTTAATTAAAAACATTATTATAGAGAGCTAGTTACAACTTACTTAAAATATACATAAATGAGATTTTTTTTTTCTGATGAAAAGAATGCTTTTCAGTTTTCTGTATTTCAGGCAATGCTAACTATGGTTGGTGTTTCCACTTAGCTCTCATTAACTTGGATTTAAGTGTCAGGCAGGCAGGACCTAAGAGAACAGAGACCCAAATTAAAAGAATAAATGGCCATGCAGCAAGCTTTTTAGTTAAGAACTTTACATTGTATTGTATTGGAACAAATCCTGCAATAGCCATAAATTCTTATTTTCATTGATAAAGTCAGCTAATTACAATGTTAATGCACTGTAGAAGGGTTGCTGTCCTTTTAGACAAGGTACTTCAAAATGATTTTATTATTATTGTTATTATTAAAGAGCCTGCCCCGTGCTTCTTTCTTAAATTTTCCTTTTCTGGTAAAGTCCTGAAGTGTGATTCTTTGCTTCTCTTCATGAGCACAATGCAATCTCACTTTGCAATAAATACACTTACTTTTTTCTCCTTAGGAAAAAATACAAAAAAGCGCATTGCAATATTTGTTGGACAGTTCATGTCCTGCCGTACAGTAGTGTCCATGGACTGGGGCTGTGGGCTTTTTTGTTTGGTTTTAATCCAAACAGCACCTGCTGATGCCCTTTGTTTATAAAGGTTTAAAAATATAAAGGAGTCTTTATTGTTTAAAGCTTCAATTCTACTGGTTTGAATTGCTTTACTGTAAAGGCTTCTGTGTTTTTGGGAAGGCAAATGACCAAAGTCCCTTGATGGAACAGTGGAAGAACGAGGCATGGATATCTAGGTGGCCTGGGAAGACTTTCTGCAATTGGCCACCTATTGCTTGGATACCTATTAGAAGATAGACATGGGGCAGTCGGAGGCTAAGTTGCTCTTTTCAGTATGGATATCCATGGTGGTAACTCCCGTGGTGACGGTAGTCATCTTGGTAGCCTTCCTGGTATCCCTGGTGATAGCTATGGTAACCATACCCACCATACTCATCATCTGGGCACTGCATGCCGAGTGATTGCTGAATGGTCATTTCCTGTCGCCGAAGCTGCATGGAATCAATCAGATCATACACAATCGCCATAGACCACATTGGAGAAGGATACCAGGATTTGACGTTTCCATCTTTCCCAACTAGAAGCATGGAGAAATATTCTGGGCTGATTTGGAAATAATTTCGAATGTCTTTCACCAAATTAGCTGGGATATCTTCTCGGTCTACGGTAGAGCTTCCTAGAAAGTGACCACATAAAAACAGCATTGACATTTTGTTTAGGCAGTGATGGTGGTTTGTAAGTAAGCGAGTTAGCAACATACAGCCTAATAGTTGGCAATGCAAGATTCTTGTCGCTTGCAGGTTCAGGATTTCCTTGTTCAGAAATGAAACTGCTCCACTGTGAAAGATGTATTTTTAACAGTTTTGTTAGTTTTAGTAAACTTGTCTTTATTCTATAGGCTGAAGCTACTAGAGCGTGGCATGCCTTTTTGTCACCTAACACACATGCATTTTGGCTTCTGTGCAGCTTGGGTCACTGGTTCACATAATGCAGAAGGCATATGTGAAAAGCAGTCACAGTGAAAGAAGTCACAGGAATTGAAGTGTGATAGTATGAAGAATTGCAGGATGAATTTGCTGGGTCATTAATGGCAGTATAGAGCCTCACTCTTGAACTGTCATAATACGTGAGAGATGGGACATGGTAGATGTCACGTCCACTTTAAAATACACGTTCTAGCGCAAATATCATGAACTCCATGCTTGTAAGTCTGAAGTCTGTGCTGGGTAAATGAGTAGAAACTGTAAGACAACCAGGATCAGTGGACACCTACTTTTATGTATATATATATGCACATACATATACATAGTTGGCATGGCAACAGGACTCTTACAAAGTGGCATCCTGCCTTACAAACTTGTAGAGGTCCTCTGAAGGAGGTCAGCAAGCAGGTGGCTGAGGGTGGTCTGGCTGATACAGGCTATGTGGATTTCCAGAAGGCTTGAAAAGGAACTGCCATAGCTTGGTTGAAAGGCAGAACAAGGTGGGAGTGAATGATCAGTTCCTAGGGTGGAAGGCGATCACCAGAGAAGTTCAGCAGTTGTTTGTGCTGGGACTGGTGCAGTTCAATGTGTTTGTAAATGATGCACACAAGGCATGAGCGTGGAGGTGAGGAAGTGTACTGAGAGTGTGGAGATACTCAGAGTAGTAAGAGCAGGGGATGATTGTCAAGCGTTACAGAAGACTCTTGTAAGACTATGACTGGTTGGTAAAATGATGAAGAAATTCTATTCAGATTGAAGTAGAACGATGCAGGTGGTGAAAATTTTGCTAACTCCACATAGGAAATGGTGAAGTCTGGCCATTACCACTTGGCAGTGAGATCTTAGTGCTATGGAAGAGAGTTTCATGAAAAGCTAGTTCAGTGCTCACTAATGGTCAAAAGCCAAAACAGATAGTATAAACCATGAGGAAAATAATAAAAAAACCAAAACAGAGTATTATTATGCCACTATGGAAATCTATTGTTTGTGTATGTCTTGAACACTGCATGAAATTTTGTTTCTCTCACCTCAAAAGAATATGGTAGAACTGGGGAAAAAAGTCAGAAAGCCAACAGGGTTGATGATGGGTTGGAATAAACTCTGTATGAGTTTAAATGACCAAGTAAGTAAAGACTGCAGTCTGTAAAATAAATGGGTTGGGGAGAGGTCTACAGGATTGTGAATGTCACTGCAGGGATGAATAGGGGTTAAATGTTTACTTTTTTCTCCTCACAAGAGATAAGGGGGAAAAAAAACCAATACAAATATAATACACACAAAGCTATAGGGGTCATGTTCAGGACAAATAAAAGGTACCTTGCAGATCTGTAGAGGTTCTCACAGGAGGACACGTACTAGAAGTTAATGTGAATTCAAAGGGAGATTAGACAAGTAAATTGAAAAGAGATCTGTTGATCGTAATGAATAGGAACCATAACCAAGATCATGAAGTCCTTTGGCAAAAAGTAAGCAGAGACTGCAAGAGTGTTGATGGAAGAAGTAAGAAATCTGCTTCTTCTGTTCTTATTCTTTCTTAGGCATGGACTTAATGTTTAGATGTGGTAGAAAGGACTAGGATGGTTTCATGTATGGAGCAGTTAGAATGACAGTGGGATGACAGGCTGAGAGAGTTGGGGTGGTTCAGCCTGGAGAAGAGAAGGCTCCGGGGAGACCTTATAGCAGCCTTCCAGTACTTAAAGAGGCCTACAAGAAAGCTGGGGAGGGACTTTTTACAAGGGCATAGAGTGATAGGACAAGGGGCAATGGCTTTAAACTGAAAGAGGGAAGATTTAGATTAGATATTAGGAGGAAATTCTTCATGGTGAGGGTGGTGAGGCACTGGACCAGCTTGCCCAGAGAAGCTGTGGATGCCCCATTCCTTGCAGTGTCCAAGGCCAGGTTGGATGGGGCTTTGAGCAGGAAGGTGTCCCTGCCCATGGCAGGGGGGTTGGAACGAGATGGGCTTTAAGGTCCCTTCCAACCAAAGCATTCTATGATATAAATAAGCTCCTTCCTGTCTTGGTTCCTCCACTGATGGAGGTGGTTGTTGGGATTAGGTAGTAGAGGAACCTGTAGCGCTTAAAATATACTGTGACAGTGAGATCTCCTAAGAATAGTGACCTGAAGTAGCCTGCTGGGATGCAAGTGGAATACTTTGAGGGGGCTCACAAGAAAGGTGGAGAAAGACTTCTTACCAGGGCCCATAGAGACAGGACAAGGGGTGAGGGTTTTAAACTGAAAGACAGTAGATTTAGATTAGTTATAAGGAAGAAGTTTTTTAGGATGAGGGTGACGCGACAGAGGAGCAGGTTGCCCAGAGAAGTTGTGGATGCCTCATCACTGGAAGTGTTCAGGGCCAGGTTGGACGGGGCTTTGAGCAACCTGGTCTAGTGGAAGATGTCCCTGCCTATGGCAGCAGGGTTGGAACTGGATGATCTTTAAAAGGTTCTCTCCAGCCCAAGCCATCCTATGAAGATGAGTGAGGGACCCATATAAGAGAATCTGCTGAGTCTGTGTTCTCTTAGCCACTCAAACTCTTGAGCATGTAAAAGGTACGCAGATCCCTTTTGACAGCAGGGCAGGCAGAGGAGTGTACTTGGGACTGTACACACAGGTTTAGGTGGGAGATAAAGATGCAAGGTGACTTCCACATGATGAAGCTATATAATGTTTAGCACAGGAATGCTTTTTATTTGCCTTTGTATTGTCTTGTTTCTTAAACAAAACAAAAGAGAAAAACACAGTCATACCCATCCCTCTATAGAAATTATGGCAAAAAAATACTCGGCACTATGTAATGCCCTTCATGGGTAGCACTTCAGAAACTGGATATAGTCACTTACCGTTAATTGGATACAACTCTAAGACACCTCCAATATCTTCTCCAAGTCCTAGCAATTTGAGAATAGTTATGTGGCGCAGACCTGTGGAGGAAATGAAGGAGGTTTTGGGTCAGACCAGTTCTTTCTGCTCATTCTTGGGCAGATTTCAGTTTAATCAGCCAGGTATATGCCTGCTAAATTAGAGCCTAGTTTCAACCAGCCCTCTAGGAGGGAGAGTTACTGATTTCTATGGAGTCTCTGCCAGTCACATCACATGTCCCAAACATGGGGATAAGCTAGAGTGTCGAGTAAATGTGATATCAGTTGCTAGAGTCCCAAGGACAACAGCATTTGGTGTGGTTCTGGAGCACAGGGATACAAGTATCAGACACACCAGGAAATTGCAGAGGCCATTCCCCAAGTTCAGAATCTTTCTGCCCTGTTTTGTTCACTAGTAAAGCTCTTACTTGTCACACAGCAGCAAAGTATTTAGAGGCAATATAACCTATCACAGTTGAACTCCAGATCACTGCAGGGAATGACTTATGACAGGCATTCAGTTCTTCCATTTGCTCTGGGCAGAGGCTTGGACTGTCACCTCTGCTTTGAAGAAAGACCTTAGGGGCTGTAGAAACTGTTCCTGTAACATGAGTCTGTATGATCTAGAAAATCTTTGATGTAACTGTTTTTACAAGTTGGAGGTAAGATACTTGGAAACATATCACTTAGTTCAAACACCCATTGAGGACAAATGCTCTAGGAACACACTGGATCTGATTCAAGCTGTCTCTAACAGAGAGTGGAGAGAATTAACTGTTTTGATTACATTCCATTCTTCAGAAAGCATTTTACAGTGGTTCATGTCACAGTTTACATTGGTAGTTACCAAATTAGATGATGCTGATGCTCTGAATGAAAGCCAGGTGATATGAATGAACAGTGATACTGTGCAGATCTCCCTTCAGGTGTAACTGAAATGTCTTGATACAGTGGCTTTTGAATGGGACCTGTTTCATTCTGTTGTAGGAGTCAAGTCTAGGCCCTGTATGATATTTGCATTGCTAGGAACCTAAGTTAAGGAGTAAGTCTGTCTGGGCTTCATAATGGAAAGACAGAAGACTGTTTCTGGGTCTTGCTCTTGATTGCCTCCTGGAGGAGACCATCTCTCTCCACTGACTATGTAGCTGGATCTTAAGTACCTAGTTAGGGCATTGGGAGGGTCCTTATTGGATTAAAGTGGCTTCCATTAATATTTTTACAAGTTTTGGCAATGAAACAGGAATGAAAAGAAAAAAAAACTGATGTCCATGCATCTCCTTGATAACTGACCCAGTTCTGAGCTGGGTATTAGAGGATCTGCCCTTCCCAAAGCATTGTACTTATGTCGTTAATTTGTGCAGTAATAAAAAGAAAATACTATTAATCTCCTGAAGTACAAGCCTGAAGAGAAGCTTTGGAGTGCTAACCTTTCCTACCTCACACAAATGATTCCAGGGAACGCTTTATTTAGCTGTCGGCGTGTGCTGTGCTACCTGCTTAGCACAATCTGTTCCATTTGGATTTGGAGTACCTGCGGCAAACTTTTCAGTTGTCAGAGTCCTCACGTTGTCTGCGTTCAGACTTGAGCAAAGGAATCCGTTGCATCACCAGGAAGGATGTGGTTTTGGGGAGCAAGAGTATAATTTCTTTTGACTCACCAAAATTACAGGCTTGTCCACTGAGAGCGGCAAGCTGCTGGGAATAAGCCCAGTCTTCATCACTGGGAGCAGAGATCACCACCAGCCGCCTTCTCCATCGGAACCTGGAAAGAGAAGAGAGTGCGACAGGGCACAGTCATGACACGTGTCTCAAGTCCTCTTAGCGTTTTTGTTCTCTGTAGGCTGAGATATGTCATACCTCTCACTACTTCTAAGTAACAGCTGGATGGGAGATCTTCCCAGTTCTGTCCATCACCAGGAGAGGATAAAGCCTGTTTTGAATTTTACAACTCCAGAACTCTCAAAGGAACATCTGCAGTTTCACTGCTTCGGCAAACAAACACTGCAAAGCTTACTATCTTCGCTTAAAATTCCCTTCAAGTAGTTACAACAGTGCTGAGAAGTGTATATTCAAGAGAAAGAAAGATTCCTGTAGAATTCCTCACTAGACATTTAGCTTTTACGTCATTCACCACTGCTGGAACTGCACAGTTGTTTTGCAGTCCAAGGGCTGTCTGAGAATTAGGGTGTATCTTCATTTCAGACATAACTCATACTTTGTGTAAATGCTTACTGACCTCTTTTTCTTCTATACCACACTTGCTCAAAATACCTTTAACGTGGCTTTAAATCTGAGCTTGCTTGTAAGTATGTGGTTGTGTGAGCCTGTGGCTATATAAGGCATGCATGGGGCAATAAGATAAATCTTGGATATTTCTTTAATATAGGATGCCCCGTCTAACCAAACGGTTACACAAGGAGCACCTTCCATTGTCCTCTCAAGAAAAGGCAATGCTGTAAGGACACTTGAAACCTTTAAAAATTCTAACTATAGGAGTTTTTAATACTTTCCAAACAACCCCTTTTTTGAATAAAGGTACTTCTCCACTAAACCTAAATAAATCAGATTTATAGGAATTTGCAAAGCTGCAGGGATATTTTTAAAGCAGGAAATGATCTTTTAAATGGATGCAGATGTTACTCTCTTATAATAATAGCCTGCCTTTCTGCAGCACCATGTGAAGATCTCAGAATAAAGGCTAATGCAATGGGTCAATTCTTTTCCACTTGAGAGAAGCAGAAAATATGGTGGGACTTGCTCAAAGTCACAGAAGAAGTTGCTGAAAGAGCAGAGGATGCTGATGTCTTTGTCTTGTTGACTGATACTGCATGTATTTTTGTAATTAAAAAAGTAAATCCTTGAAAAGCAAAACTCCCCAATTCTAATCTAGCCCAGGAGGAACAGCAAAGAGACATGGGCATGTGTATACAGTTATGTGAATTGAAATGAGGAGCATTAAGAATCACATATGTGATGTGAAGGAAAAGGGGGAAATTTTGTGTTGTTATTCTGAAAATGGGACATTTTGTATAGCAAAAGCACCTGGCTACCTATAAACAGTAACTGAGAATGTAAACAATGGATCATATTTTGTCTAATGCATAAATTGGGATGAAATCCTACCTGTGAGCCTCTTTAAGATACTCTTAATTCCTTTCTGTTTTTTTGACTATCTCTTCTGGAGATGCACAGAGCTGAAAAGGGTTGAAAGTCACTCAAGATGTCTATCCCCCCGCCCCAGGCAATCCCTGTACTTGGTGTGCTTGTCTGGGACTACATCTTACTGAGAAATTAATTCAGTTGGTCCGTCACAGCTGTTAGTTCACCAACACTAATGTACAGATTTGTGCCTGATTTCTGACATCAGAAGCCCCAGGCCAATACTCCTGTCCTGACAAATCTGCTGGACCCTTCCCCATGTGCCTTCTTTCTTCCTCTTCTACATATTTTGCATCCCATTCTTGTTTGTGAGCCCAGAGAGCAGCACAGCCAGTGTCTTGGTGTTACAGGGGGACTCCCCTCCCCCTAAACTCAAGAATCTCCTCCTGATTCCTGTGACTTTTAAGCAATACTCAAACCAGCTCTGGTTCTCACAGTCCCCTTTCATGCCAGCCAGGCTTGTTAAGAACAATATTTGCATTATTGTAACTGACCTCCCCAATGAGCAACACCAGGGAGATGATGCCAGCATTCCTGTTCAGCTGGGAAGATAATCTTGGACAAAGCTGGAATGAATCTTGCTGGGAATTTGACCAGTTAATGTGGCTAGTGAAGTCCACCCAATATTTAAAGCCTGATGCTTGTTTCACAGACAACAAATGCATTCTGTGCAGAGGCAGTTCTGTTTATAGATGCAACATTCTGTATTTTTCCTGCCTGTTTTTCTAATGTGTGTTTATTACTAGGAGTGTTTCCAAGCAAAGAAGGATTTTGGGCCTGTCACTTTCCAGCATACAAGCTCTTTCTTGTGTTGGTCAGCTGTTTGCAAACTGTGGTTCTTCTTGGTGGTCTTGAGGATGAATCACTGAGACCTAAACAGGAGGTGGTGAGGTGGGTGGGGTGGATCTTGTTAAAAGTACTCTTTCTGTTGAAGTGGCCATCGAATTTAAAAATATTTATGAACCAACAACCTATTCATTTACCTGTTGCTCCTTTCCTCCTCAACTCAGCATCCATCGTACCGCCTCAGTTATTTTTATAGCCATCTGGCATTAACAGTGTATTCCCATGAATTCTGATAGTAGGTGAGGAGGATGCAGTACTAACAGGTAAAGCCTAGAGTGATGGGGTAGCCCTAATTTCATGTAAATTATCCTATAACAGAGTGGCCTTAGCTGCAGAGCTGTTCTATAGATCTGAATTTCCACAATCCAGACATGTTTGTTGCCTGGAATTCAGGTCTCACAGGTAGAGCAGTAACACGATATATAGAGATTGCATAAACAAAACCGTCTTTCTGCAGAAGGTCTCTCAAATATTTTGGAAGAGACATCTGCAAAGCCTTTAATAATATGCATGACTAATACTGGCAAAGACCAACTGTTACCTCAAGCAGGATAAGAAGGAAGTTACAGAGAATTAATTACTGATTTGAGCTACGTGGAAGGGATTAGAATGGGATTACTGAGATTGTGATGGTTGATGATTGAAACACATAAACACTGTGCTTCATACATTCAAAACACTGAGCTAATGTCTGTGAATTAATCCTTATTTGCTCTTCTAATGCAAATCAGTATTATTATCTCCATGTCGTGATGGAGGAATTGAGGTACAGAAAGTTAGTGTCCAAAGAACATGTAGTCAGTCAGGAAATACAACATGCATCCTGACTGCCAGTACTCTGTACAAGACTGCATTCAGCTATGGCTACATCTCTGTATTTGCTTAGCACTGTAAATACTGAGAAATCTATATCGAAAAATCACAGAAATAGTTAGATGGGTATTTTTCCACTAAGAAAATAATTATTACAACAGCAGCAGATAAGAACAGAAGGTAATACCTGGATAAGAAGCTCTCAAGGGATTGCTTCTTATCTTCTTTGCAGACGATGCCCTCTTTTTTCTGTCTTTCCATGTCTTTAATTCGTGACTGGAAGGTGTCAATCAAATCAAACACAGACTTCATTGCTATGGGTACCTCATAGTATTGCTGTTAATAAAAAAGAAGAGATGGATAAATGGATGCACATATTAGCAGTCTTTGCATGTATCACAGCACTGTAAAGACATATAGAGATTCAACTATTCCTATTTACCCACAGGTAACATGGCCTAAAACAGATTAGAAACCATGGAAAATATTGGTTTTGCAGTCAGACTTCTCTTTGGAAGTGGCATATTTTCAGTATTTGCCCAATGTGATAAGGCCAGGCTATTTTTGTCATTATATTCTTTTGTAAGGCCATTCAACTAGAGCATTGTCCATATGCAATGTGCTGTCATCCCACTGAGTGGCCAAACTGTTTTTAGAATGCCAGGTCTACATTAAAACAGGGGGTCCTGTTCCTATGGTGTCAGCTCACCATCCCAGCAGAAACCCACAATTCCTGAAACCCCCTAACTGTAGACAATGAAGATAGCTACCTAATTTCTGAAAATTTCTCTTACTGTCCTTTTTCTTGTCCTCCAGCAATGACCAAGTCCTGCATCAGTCTTCTACATACCTCGCATGCAAGCCTGTAGTGTAATTTCCTAAAATTTTTCAATTTTTTCATATTTTTCCAATGCCTTTTCTTTCAAAGAATTGAAACCCTCACCTTGACCTTCATGTCAGTGTCCGTCAACACCATGAAGAAGTCATTGTAGGTCATCCCATACTCTTTCCTCAGCTCACTGATGAGTTGCTGGTCCACAAGATCTTCATCCTCTATCACTTTCATGGGCTTTTCATTATCTTAATGTGAGACAAAGGAGAAATAAAAATAGTCACGGAATCACACAGCACTCTGCCTTTAATTTCACCTTGAAAGAAAGGGGGAAATTTGTGTCCCAGAAGCTCTCTTCCTGCTGCATAGGCAAGATATTAAAAAACATCAGTATGGCACTATGGCTTTTAACTGTCCAGTTTTTAATCCTAGTATTTTTTGAAAATCAGTCTATCCTAGGGCACATGCACTTCAGTATTCAACATTTCTACTTGCTTTTGAAAAATCTTGGTTGCCTACTCTTTCCTGGAAAGATCTTTTAATTTTTTTCAATATTCTTATACATGTATATGCATGTACTCATCATTTCACCAGCTCCTGAAATGCAGCCACTTCTGGAATAGAAAATAAAAACTGTTCAACAATTTAGGACAGGAGCTGGAAAGCACCATATCCAAATGAAACAGCATAGAAAATTTCAGTGTATAAAATAAAGCTAGAAGAGCTTGAGGTTGGCTAGGACACTAATGTTGCCAGTCTTAAAAAATTACATAGGAGGTTTAGTGACTACAAGAAACCAGAAACTGTTTAATATGTCTTGAATGTTGCAGTCCTGGCTCTTCAGCTCTCTTTATATACCCTGCGGTGGCACTCCTCCTCCATGTGTTTGCTGATGTTCATTTCCCATTCTAGCACTCTGGCAGGAAAAAACTTAATTTTGAGGGATGGTTTGTACGTACTCACTGCTCTACCCTAAGAAAACACTCAGAAACACTTGAGGAGAAAAAGACCTCTGAAGCAGAGATTTGAAGCACGTACAAGACAAGCCTGTGAAGGTACTGAGGTTCTTCACTTCCCCTGGAACCAGGGCGTATCAGGGCCAAGTCCTGAAAGCCTCCGTGACATCAGCTCAGCCTCACCTATAGCATCCAGCACAGCATCATATGACTGTGACAAAGCTGGAACGGGACTCCATATGCAACTGTGGGCCTGGAAAGCTGAAGGCAGGCTAAATCACACATGAAGTGAAATGTCACCTAGGCACCAAGGAGCTCTCTGCAAAAGTTACTTGCTTATGCCCTGTGACACCACTATGAATATAAATATTCATATCCTCACTTAGAAATCCCAGCCACAGCTTAAGTGACCTGCCTGAAGTCAAACAGAGATGTGACAGCTGATCAAGAGCTAGAATCCAGAGGTACAACTTTCCAGTTCCCTGCTCCACCATTATTCACCAGCAAATAGAGATGAGATGAATTGATCTGAGGTGAGCACACAGCAACAGAAAAGATTTGATTTATTATACAATAAGGCATTTTAAATAATTTTCTAAACATCCATAGCCTTTAAGAAGTAAACTGATCTGATTCAAATTTTGCAGTAGGTCCAATCTGTGTGATTGGGAACACTTTGGGAAAATGTCTGAATCAGAACCTGACCTTTACATTTCACACCTTTGGACCTGCTTCTTACAGAAAAATAACCCAAACCAGCAAATGCTAAAATTTGGTTATACTAATCAAGCTAAAGACATAATTTATATGGTTTTACATGGTTATATGTACCTCAGTTGAAAGTTTTGCAAAGAATTACAGGCAATATTATAAATTGGATGGGTTGTGGGATGTGCTAATTGGTTATTCACTTTGTAAAACATATGTAAATCATGCATCAGTGCTTCATAAGTGAGATTTACATGTTACTAATGGCAAGCATGACCATTAAAACATAGACCAAAAATTCATACTTACGTCTCCAAACAATTCCCTACAAAAGCAATGACTATGTCATTGCCCTATACGGAGGCAGAATAATGCAAAAGATGTTAGTGTGAAATGTGATGGAAAACAGCTGTATGGTGCAGTACTTTAGACCAACTGACCCATGGCACTTTTCTGCTTTGAAGATTTTAGATACCAACATAAAGACAGCACTTTAGTGTTTCACTGTTAGGAGATTTTCTTTCAAAACTTATAATGTAAAGAAGAAAATTAAGTTACAAGAGTGATACAGAAAAATGTTGGGGGG